TGTCTACTTAACAATTTGGATCTTGGACAGAAAAATGAAGAGGAAGAAGAAAAAAAGGAAGAAGAGAAGAGAACGAGGAAGGGATGAGAATCACTCTAGACCTTTTTATGTCCTCTCTCCCCTGGTGAGGAGGGCAGAAAGGCAAATTAAAATTGTCCAAACAAACCTCTATTTACGTTCTTTTTGTTTAATCTCTTTTTGACTTTTGAAACCTTAAACCCTAGATCTCCAGAAATTATCAACGTATACAGCATTCCCTTCCCAGTCACAGGGGCTATTGTCCTAAGAGTAAACACAAAGGAAAGACCTTATTAGAGGAGAATCCTAGACTTTTTTTACCTTAAGACTTTAAGGGAGCCTCATGTGCAAGGGAACCAATGAAAGCCTTTAATAAATACAAAGTTTTTATAACCTTATACCCCGAGAGTTAGCTAAGATGGACTCCAGCCTCCTTGCCACATTCTGGGGAGGTCCATGCCTTTTCCTAACTGACTGAATTTCCAGACTTCTAGTCTCAGTATCTCTCTGGCTGCAAGTCTCTGCCTGATGAATGCTCAGTTTTCCTGTTTCACCTCCTGTATCTGTTTACTTCTCTCCTCCCTCATGTTCAAGCATGGAATTCTGTTCTTTGGTTTCCTCAGAATTGGTCATCTAAGGCATATACATGAGTATCAGGCCTTGTTGAAAGTTTGGAACCATGTAGGATTTTTACATTGCAGAGATACACAATCTTTAAAATGAGATACTGGATACCCCTATTCTTTAAAAATTTCTGGCCCCTGGAAATTTCCCCTTAGCCATTTTTCTCTGCAGTTTTGGCCTCCTATCTTAGTTTTGGCACCTCCTAACCCACTGTCATTGCCCTCCAGGTGTCTTCACATCTCTTTGTTGCTCCGTTTCTGAAGTTCTCTCCTAGCTAGGAAGGGAGAAGTATCAACTGTCTGTTTTGGTTTTAATAATGATTTCTTCACTTTACTGTATCTATATTCACTAAAACAAAATGATAAGGGCAACACAAGAATGGAAGACTCTCAGTGACATTTTATACATCTAAATTATGAATAATGGACATGGTACATTTATTTGCCTTTTATCATTTTGGCACTCCAGGAATGAGCAAATGCCAATGAGAAGGTTATCATCATCTCTTTTCTCTGTGGGATCTTCCACAAAAACTTGAGACCTGTCTGATTTCACACTGAGTTTGATGCCCTTCCCTGGCCTGGAGGAGCAGAGAAATGTGGGGCACTTGGAAGGGAAAGACTGAGGGATCCTTTATTTTAATTTATCAATGAGTCTCTGTTGAGTTCCCTCACCTACAACACAGAGATTTCCAGCTTAGTGCTGACTATGAGCACGCTGGGGAGTCAGTCATGCATGTGCCAAACTCTTCCAGACCTTCTGACCCAGTCGAACTTCCTCCGTTCTCGAGGGCCAGGGTCAATGTGTCTTTCCTTGATTTTCCTTGCTTTCTTTAGTCTTCTCTCCCTCTATTTTACTTCACTCTCTTTTATTGGTTCCCAGCACCTTCTTGTTCTGTTTACCAGAGTCCTGACCTAGAGGCCTGACTCTGGGATTCCCAACAAATCAGGTCTGGCCACTCACCCTAAAAACGCAAATGGAAAGACATGGTGAAGTAGGAAAGGAATGTGATCAATATGGTCATATTGGGAAGACAAGAGGGGACCAGGTACCCTTAGCCCTGTCTTCAAGAGTACTGATCTGAACTTTAGGTTTAATAAGAGAAAGAATTGGAGCAGGGGCCAAGAGGTATGCGTAATTGAACAGACTTGGTCAAACTGTGATCCAGTTAATCATTATCTTAGTTCTGCTTCTATGAGGTGGTTCTGGAGAAGTCCTTATTTATAGAGGGGGAATCCAATTCTGTTAGCAGGTGCAGCCTCCATTTCTATCATGGGGCAATTGCTTCCTCTTTGGGGAGTGATCTTATCTTGGTGATATCTCTGCAGGGACTCAGCATTCTTTTATAACCATTGCACTTACATTTTTAAGAAGGTACTCCATATCCTAGAATTTTATATATGGGGATTCATTTTTGAGAAGTTAATTTTATCATTATCAGTAATCTTCTTGAGCTGGATTGGGCAAAAGGAGAGGGAAAGGGAGGAGGGAAGAAAAAGAGAAGAGAGAGAATTATAAATGCAAAAGAGTTTCTCCAAGGCTCAGTGGAGGATGAACGTCCTCTCTGTCCCCACTGCATGGCCTCTTTCCCCTACTTCTCCTCCAGATCAGCTTCATTCCCCCTTCCTCTACACCCCAGTCTTTTCTGCCTGGATGTGCCCTCAGCTTCCAGTTTACATGTTCTCTCCCTAAAACATCAGCAAAGGCCCAGCTAACTCAGAGACTCAATTCAAAATTTCCAGATTGGGTCAATTGTCCAATTAAGTGCTCCTGATTTAATTAACTGTGGCCAGGAGCCTAGGTCATGGGTCATCCAAAGACAACCTTATTGGGGTGGGGGTTATGGGCTGGGCAGACATCACCATAGCTGCCTGCTGTACAAGGGATTCCCAAAAGCACAAGTGGACAGATCCTCTCCTCTTCCTCTTTTAGAAAGTACATTTGAAGTTTATGTACAACTTCAGAGAAAAAGAATTTATTGCTCATGAAACTAAGACTTGAGGCCTCCAAGTCCCTTCTCAAAGACCCACATCACACAATTGGCAGGAAAGCCTTTGGTGCCCTCAGGTTCTGTCACCCATTTCGCAGTACTCTGGCCTTGAGCTACTCCCAGCAGCTCTAACCCCCACCACCCCTTGCCCAGCTCTATTTCCTTGTTCTTGGCTCCTTTCTTGCTGCAGCTAATCCCAGCTAATGTGCTCATGCATGTTAATTGTCAGATTCACTCACCCTGCAAATATTTATTGAGTGTCCATGCTGTGCGAGCCCCATGTCAGGGGCTAGCAGTGTGATGTGAACCACACAGACTCTGACCTCACAAAGCTGACTGTAATGATCTTGTGTGGAGCCTAAGAGAGAGGGAATCCCTGGAAGGGCTCACCAAAAGCTGAGGGCCATGAGACCGTGTCTGATGCTGACTTCCTGTTGATCATAATGCCTCCTGAGTCTTTACTCAGAGTCGAAGTCTATACTGCCTGTCAGTTTGCAGTCCATTGGTTCACTTTGTACTCTGCTCATCCAGTAACTAGTCAGTCCCCACCCAGTAAAAACACGATTCTATGTACCTCTTTAGTGTGCATCCCTGCCCAGCTCATAGTTCTCCCAGCAAGTGCTGGCTGAGTTCTCTTGGGCCAGTGCTATGCACCTCTCACAGAAAGAGTACGACCTGTGGTGTTTCTCATTACATGGATTAGCTTGTAACAATGCTGCATGCACATGGGAACAGTGCATTAGAGAAACTCCATGCAGTAGCTCCAAGTGTGGTAAGATAAACCTTCTGTGGGAAGGAGGGAGGGGCTTTGAGAGGGAAAGAGGGCAGGGGAAAGGAAGGAGGAGTTTAGAAGCTGAAAAGGATTAAGCCCCTGGAATGTTTAGAAGGAGTAGGCTGGTGACTGGTAAAAAGAAAGAAAGGGTCACCTCTATTGGCAACAATAATAATAGGGACATCACTTATTGAGTGACTGGTGTATGCCAAGTACTGTGCCAGATACTTTATGCATCATCTCATTTAATTCACAATCCAGGGAGGTAGGTGTGGTTATTCCCACTTACTAGAGGGGGAAATTGAGTCTCAAAGAGCTTAATGCCTTGCCAAGATCCTACTCATAGGAATTAGCACCATCAAGAGTTGAATCCACTCACAAGCGCAAGGACCCGAGTTCGATCCCAGGTACCAAAAAAAAAAAAAAAGAGTTGAATCCAGGTCTGTCTGGACTCTTAAAAAATATTAATAGAAAAAGTCCCTCTGGCATCCTTGGGAATCTTTCTTTGGGTGTTAAAGTCACCCAAACCTCTGACTTGGTGTGGACTGCAATAGCTGCTCAAAGGACTAGGCAGGGCTGGGCCATTCTCAGCCACACTGAGTGCAAGGTACAGCACCCAGGATCCTCAGGGAGCCCAGCTCCTCACTGACCACCAAGGCAGAAACACCTGACCCTGACTGCAGGGTGTTCTTTATGATGGCAGCTTTGCTTGGAGCCCAGCATTCTACACATGACTTGTTCTTGTTTTTTCAGCTTTAAAATGGGCATCCTCAAGCCTCAGGTACAAAATGTGGCCATTGGATCCAGCAAACAGGGTATTGTGGAGTAGAGGAGGTCAGGAGATTTTGGCTCTGCGTTAACCTGAGCTTGAGCCTGGAGATCTTGTGTGATGTGAACTAGATCTGAATTTTTCTCATTTGTGAAATGAAGGGTTTAGACTCAACCTTCACTAAGCTCCCTCATCTCAGCTCTAAGACTTAGTGAGTTTAGGATTTGTAGCTCCTTGGAACAGCTGCCTGCTCAGTGACCTCTAATCAACCTTGGCACATTCTAAGTACTCAGTAAGCACTTGCTGAACCAAGCCCAGGAGATTAGGAGTTTCTCAAAGGAGCAAAATAATTTCCCAGTGGGGTTCACCGCATACCCTAAAGTGACCAGTTCCCACTGTGCCGTGGGCCCTCAGAAAACATTTACTCACTGAGGGGTAAACTTGGTACCTTGTCTTAGAGGTAGACAAAAAGGTCAGGAGTTTGGGTTTCAAGTTTGGAGAGGAGAGAGACCCTCTGTTTGGAACACAATTGACCAAACATTGCTTGCTGTGAAATGTGAGACCCCACAGCAAACACTTCCCTCCAACAGCCCCACCTCTACCCTGGAACTGTGGCTGAAAACAGGGCCCTACCAGGCCACTTTCAGCCAGCTCACCTATAGCCATGACTCTTGAGACACTGGGTAGTCTCAAGCCCAATCCTACCTGGACTTTATAAAGTAGCCTGAGGAGAGCAGCTGGTGCCTGGGCTCCCCTAGAGCCTCCAGGCACGGGGGGAGGCTTCTGGGAGGAGGGTAGACAGGCAGCTCTGCCAGTCCTCTCACAGGCCCTCAGCTGTCACCACCCCTGTTGCTGTGGAGAACAGGCTTCCTGCTCAAGCTTCTCCTGTGGCCACTGAGCCCTTCTCTCTCCAGTGCACCTGAAATATTTCTTTCTTTCTGTTCTTTCTCTTCTCTTCTCTTCTCTCTTCTCTTCGCTTCTCCTCTTCTCCTCTCTTCTTTTTTTTCTCTCTCTCACACACACAGACACACATACGCACTCACATAAACACATTAATAGTAACTTTAATTTGCTCTCTACATAGTTTTCCTCCCTCACACAGTCTTTTTCACATTTACCACCTATTTCTCTATTCTCTGTACAAAGAGTCCCCTCTCTCCATTCCCTCTCTCTCTCCTTCCTCTTCACACTCCCTCCTCCACACCTTCCCTTGCTGCTTAACTAGAAACAAAAGTGAGTTTGTTGTGTGAGAAAGTGGACTTGTGGAGGCAGTGGCGAAGCAGGAAGGAGGCAGCAGCAGAAACAGGCTGGGGCCAGAGGCAGCACGGACAGCCAGAGATTCCAGTGCTCAGCTATTCCAGGGAGCAGGTATGACACCAGACAGGGCTGCTTCTGGCCTGTTGTGCTCTGACTAGTCTCATTTCTCTGTATAAGCTCCATTTATTTGCCTCCTCTCTGGCCTTGAAAGGGAAAAGGAAGTCCAGACTTACAGAATGGCAGGCTCAGAAGACCAAGGGGGTGGCAAGTCTTCTTCTTCGGGGACTTGTGTGTGGTACCACCTGACTGGGCTGGGGAAGGCTGGGGTCAGGGGCAGCTGGTGCAAGGCAGCTGGGTGAAGGACACACCAGGTCCTAGGAAGGAAGGTTAGGGCCATTTCACAAGAGATGTTTTGAGGAATATCCCCAATCCTCAGTTTAGGCAATAGAGACCCATTGAAGGATTTTCACCTAAATGGTAGCATGAATATTTTTAAAAGAGTAGTAATTGGGGGCTGGAGGTATGGCTCAGTGGTACAGCACTTCCCTAGCATGCTCAAAGCTCTCAGTTTGATCCTCAGCACTGAGAAAAAAAAGTAGTTATTGTACTGTGATCCTTGGAGAATTGGTAAGGTTCATCAATCAGATAAATTAATGGTATTTTATGCTAGTTAAATTATTTGATTTATGTGTACTGTAGTTTATGGAAGAGCACCACGACTCCCAGGAGTCCAGCACATGAACAAGTTTGAGATGTTGCTCTGCTGCTATCTAGGGCTTGGGGATGGATGGGGAATCAGAGGCAATGAGGGCAGTAAGTGGTTATTGCAGTGACAGGAGCAGGAGGTAACGAGAGGCAGGGAGGGAGGGTTGGAACCAAGGATTTAGGTGGAAGAAGGACTCTTTGTGGCAACATGGGTAAGGATATAGAAGGACTAAAAGATGGGAATCTGATGTTTTCATGCCCGCAAGCCTTTATTTTCTTGATGAAGTGGGATAGGAGATGGATCAAAAAGCTTAATGGGAAGCGCAAAAGTTAGAAGTGACATAGGCAGCTGGAGATGGGCAGTGGCAAGGGTGAGTAGAAGGTTGCTGCCCTTGAGATCCATTGAGGGTAGAAACCTTCTGCACAGTTGAGTGGTTTTCTACAGAGAGGCTCATGATCCTGGGTTCTGGGATTGGTGGTAAGGAGAGCTGAGGACCTGTTACAGTCTCAGCCTTATATCAGGTGTTTTATTCTTCTTATCTGATTTATTCATTCCCAAGAACCTTTTCACTCAGACTGAATTTACTCATGCACAGGTGGCAGCTCTGAGATTCATATTCATATCTAGATGGATTAGAAGCCTATTGGGCACCCTGCTTGCCTCTGGAGCCCTCAAATACACTTGTAGAGATAAAGATAGGGCCAATGAATTCTTGTTTGGGCATTGCTTTTATTGGGAAGTCAAGGAGGAAGACAATGGAAAATGTGGTGAGAGAATATTTTAAATTATTGTCCATTGGGGGCCCATTGTAAAATAAGTGAGGGAAGGAAGGAATGGTAAACAAGAAATAAGAGACTGGGAGGAAAGGGAAGATTTAATGAGGTCCAGGAGACCGCTGATGAGAAATTGATCAGGGCAGGGCAGTGGGGTTAGTGAGAAGGGACTGTATTCTTGAAAATTGTAATATAGGGTTAGAAGTGAGGGAAAGAGTGGTGCTGTGATGATAACTGCTGGAGTCCAGTCTGTGGGGTGGACAGGGATGCCTTTAGCCAAGGCATTGGTCACCACTTCAACACAGGTTGTCCCTCTCTCCCCTTGGTTCACCATGTTCCAGCCACACAGATCAGCAAGCATATTGCCACCTCTGGGTGTCTGTAACAGTTAGAGCACTCTTTTTCCAGATGTGCAGAAGAGGCTCATTCAAATCTTTCAAGTCACAGTTCAAATGACCTTCTCAGAGAAGCCTTCATGGCCATGCTATCTCCTGTAGCTCTGCTGGTCATTTTGTCTTTTCAGAGCACTTATCACTGCCTAAAATGGTGGTTTATAGATTTGTTTACTTGTTTATTATCTATCTCTGCCTCTGGAACACAAGGTTTGACAAACAAGGACACATGGGTCTTCTTTACAGCTTTATTTTCCAACACCTAGAATAATGCCTGGCATACAGTAGGCATTCACTAAATACTGGAAGGAAGGGAGGGAATAAAGGAGGAAGGGCCAGAGATGGAAGAAGCATATTTGGGGAAGGATACATGTGCAGTGTTGAAATGTTGAACTTTGAGGTGCCTAAGGGACACCCAGGAGGCAACTTCAGTGGGCCATTGGAAAGTAGGCTGGGTGCTCAGGAAACCAAGGGAAGGTAAGCCCATGTGGCACACTTGAGCAAGACTGTCTTCTCACATGGCTAACTTCCTCGTCATAACCACTTTTGGTAGTGGACTTGTTTGGGGCCTACTGGGAGAAAAGACCCCTTTGAGTTGTTATGTTGAAGTTGGATCAGACTGTTCTCACTTTACTATTCTATTCTTTTTCTTGTTTTTACTGGTTTCCTGACTTTGGATATTTTCCATCCTTCTTCACTGTCAGCTACAAGACCTGTAGTGTAAATACAGTCCAAATCTTTTTATCTCTTTATCTCAAAGAATATCTTGTATACATTCAACCCAAAATTATGTGAGTACATCTTTGCCCAGAAGCTATGCTTAGTTTTACTGAATTAGGAAATACTTTTCCTTGCCCTTGGCTCCTGCTCCCTTACTGTCAGCCTTGTGGTCTCCTGCCTTCCATGGGGCACTTAGCAGACCTATTGTCTTCTTTTGTAGGGTCTCCAGCTGCTGAGCAGCTCCAGGACATCCTGGGGGAGGAAGATGAGGCTCCCAACCCCACCCTCTTCACAGAGATGGATACTCTACAACATGATGGAGACCAGATGGAATGGAAGGAGTCAGCCAGGTGAGGTAGAGCCCCAGGAGGGAGGTAAAGGGGAGGCTTCTCATTGTAGTGTTCCCAGAGTCAAGGTTAGGCCGGTCCTCCTGGTGAGATATGGTTCCTCATATCTTTCGTTCTGCCAGGGAGCTTGCTGGTCACAAAGACCTTCTCACCTGCCTTTCTGGTATCCAGAACTTGTGGGACACTAAGGAACAAAATAAATTTATGACTTTGTTTTTACCCTCAAAGAAACAAAAATCCAAGCTGAAGGATAGAGAAGTCATCCATGAGAATCTGAAAAAATAACATAAGCATATATATTCTTAATGTTAAATGATTTGAACTAAATGCTATAGATGGGAAGTACCAAGAAGTCTAGGGTAGACAGAGAGGGCTTCCTGGAGGAGGGAGAATGTCTGCCAGGCACACCAAATCTAAGCAGTAGAGAAAATCCAATGGAAAGTTCCAGTGGGCCACTGAAGAAAAAGGACTTGGCAGATCTGAGGCTGGACAAGCAGAACGGGCTGTAGAGTTGGAGCCATGGAGGAAAGCATAAGGAGCAGAGAGGGTTCCTTGAGGGATGAGAATTATTATCCTGTTTTATAGAGAGGATTCCAAGGTGTAGAAGGCCAAGAGTCAGAGCCAATAGGTAGCTGAATCTGGATTCCAGTCTAGGCCTGTCTGACTCCCCAGCTTGAGGGCTTATGTACTCTTTCATGCATTTCTCATTTTCTCAGCCACTTTTCTGCCCTTCTCCAGCTCTAGGGACTATTTTGACTTATGGAGGAGGACATGGGTCTGGAGGCAATTCTACTGAAGTTGGAGATAAATGGGGACAACTCCAGAGCCCAGGACATCTATCCAGGGCTGACAGGAGGGAGCAGGACATTTCAAATGCCCAGGGCACAGTCTGAGCTCCTGTGACTTAGCACCTCTAAGGACCTGGAGTCTGATGCCACTGTTCTGCCTTTACACAGATCTCTTCTGCCCAAGGTGGATCAGTAGAGAGGAGGAAATCAGAGAACTCCTCTCAGAGGCCCAGGAAAGAGAAGGAGCCTTCTCCCCACCCTGGGAAGGCTGTGCACCCCAAACCTCTGGCAATAACTGCCAGGACTAGACCTGCTATGTAGGCCCATCACACATATCATGGAGCCTTTCCTGAGGAGGCCACAGGCCCTCACAAGCCTGAATTCACCCTAGGTAAAACACATTGTTTCTCTTCTCTCTGTGAGAATCCACAGAGCCTGCTGCACAACAGACCCAACCATGAAACTGATAAACAATACATCAAATGTTTTTGGAAAGAGGCTCCTTTTAAACTGTAGAGGCTTAGGGCAGTTACCATCTGCAAGGCAGTGGGTTTCCTGGCAAGGCAGGCTTTGTAAGCCTCAGAATAACTGTCTCAAGCCCATAGTAAAAATAAATTGATGACCAGAAATTCAAATGACTGAACTCAAGTCCAGGCAGATCTCACAAGGGGAGTGGCTAAGGGCCAACAGGGGCGGGGGGTGGGTGGGGGGTGGGCAGGGATCAGTGGAGGAGAGCAGCTGAGGGCCTTCCCACCCCAATTCTCCTTTCTCTACTTCTTCCACACTCTCCTGCAATCTTTTCTTCAGCTAACCTCATCTAGTTTCCAGCTAACCTTTCAAGGTATCACCAGCAAGCCCCCAGTGAAGTCAGAAGGCTTCCACTGTTGATTGAGAAGTCCACTGTGGCCTGGACTCTGGCCCAGTTGGGTCCTCCTCCAGGTAAACTGCAAGAGTAGAGTTCCTTAGGTCAGACTTGTTTGAGGCCTGTCACCTCATCAAAATAATGAAAAGCATTTCCCTTAGCCAACAGGCTGTGGGACCTATCTCAGGAAAGCCGGAGGTCTCAGAAGTTTGCAGAATCTAAAACTCAGCCAATCCTAGTAGATTCTGGGCCTCCTTGGAGAAACAGAAGAGAAATGCAGGGGAGTGAGGGGCAGCCCCTCACACAGACATCCAGGTCCCACCATACCCACAGCAAAGTGAATGGGGGAGGGGACACTTTAATAAAAGTATTTAATTTGTTGCAGGGAGTGTTTGCTTTATTGAGCTAGGAGATTAAGAGAGTGAAAATCTCAAATCTGCAAGGAATTTTCCCTGGCGGTGCTTTGTCGGGGGTTATTAGTTTGGGGGATGTTCAGGCACTTAGAGGAGTCACTCCTACCCGGGTTTAAGTAGCTTTTTGAGCTCTGTTGAGCTTTGTCCCATGCACATAATGAGCACTGTGTGTGTGGTGTCATTTCTAATGTGATCAATGCTGGTAGGTCAGGCTGTTAATAAGATAGATTTTTATTAACTCTGTCTCTCTAGCATTCCCTGAGGGAAGGCAGCTGGGTGTTTGCTGATAATGACCTTCCCTGAAGGGAATGTTGGATCAAGTAGGGTGGGAGCCACCATCTTGTTATGAACAATTTGCCCAGAATTGAGTTCTCTCTCAAGCCCACTTCTGGCTGACTGGAAGAGGAGGGGTGGGGAGAATGACCCAGGTTGGAACCCACTCAAGTGGACCCAAGTAATGGTTACTCAGAAATAACCAGAGCTTAGTGCCTTCCAAGAACCCTGAAAGCAAATTCCAAATCCAAGCTCCTGGGCTCAGCTCAGAGCAGACCATGACCATGAACTTGCCAGAAGGTTCTTATAAGACACATATGCTCTGAGAACATACTTATAATGACAAGGAAAAGGCAGAAAGAGACACATAAGATGTAGGTCACCTAAGTTGGGTCCAGCCAGATCAGCACATTTTCAAAATCCCTGAGTAGTTATCCACCTGCAGGCAAGGACACTGTCTCACTCCCAGCAGGATGGAGGAGAAAGCTTGAACTTTCTTTCCAAACTTGAACCTGCTCCCATTTAGGAGCTTGTACAGTACCCTCTTTATGAGTATTCCCCCTCTTTATGTGAGAGTGCACTCCCATCCCTCTGGTCTCATCACCCATCTGGAATCAACCTTTTGGAGTTGCTGTGTATAAAGGGGAATGGGCAGCTGAGAGCTCTCAGTGTGGACATCAACAGCTAATATTTACTAAGTGATTACTATCTGCAAGCCTTGATCCAGGTGCTAGAGATTTCTAAATGCCATCTTTGCTCAGTGGGGCTCTCAGTTTACTGGGACATAAAGGGAAATAAATAGGCATTTAATAATGGGGTGCTGTGAAGGCACAGCAAAGGGAGACCTAATCCAGACAGGAGGGATCAAAGAAGGCTTCTAGAAGGAAGAGGAGTGTACACTGGAAGGTGTGTCAGAGTTAGCCAGGAGAGGGTAGGTAAGAGGAAAGAGGCCCCTGGACCAGAATAAACAATCACATAGAAGAACAAGCAGAAGATCACTGTGGCTGTGGTACAGAGCAAGGGCAGGGGCCAATCATGCAGATCTTATGCAGGCCATGCTGTGGAGTCCGAACTTGCTTCTAAGGACCACTGAAGGGCTTTAGGTAGAAAAGGGGCAGAATTTTATATGTGTGTAAAATAGGTCATCTGGCTTTAGTGTGGAGAAAGGCTAAAAAAACAAAACTTGGCCAGTTAGGAGGCTGGTCCATGGGAGCAACAAGGAAACCCTGGATCAAGATGTTGCCAGTGGGGATAGAGAGAAGGACTGGGTTTCAAATATACTTTAAAGGTAGAATATGAGGGAGAAGATAGGGAAGTGCCCAGCTTCCCAGCCTGAGCAAGTGGGTAGCAGTTTAGGAAACACAAAGGAGGTGGTGAGGAAAAGTGTTAGGTAATTGTGTTTTATTTTGGGGGTGATTGATGCTGAGTTCCATTTCAGACAAGTTATGTTTGGGGAAACTCCAAGTGAAGATGTACAGTGGTCCATCATGTGGGCGTAGAGACCTTGGGCTCAATAGAGAGACAGAGATCTGAGCTATCAGCATTCACATGGAAATCAAATCACAGATAAGAAGATGGTTGGCCCTGAGGTCTGTGAAGCAATGAGAGCCCAGGAGAGAACCCCAAATGTTCAAGAATGGGCAGAGGAAGAGGAATGTTGAAGATTGAGGAGAAACCTGAGAGGTAGGAGAAATGAGAAGTCTTTATCCTGGAAGCCAGGGGCAGACAGAGGGAATAGCCACAGGACAGAGCACCAGGAGCAGTGGGGGTAGTGTGGGGACAGAGGCCAGAAGACAGTGGGCTATGAACAGAGTCACAGAAGGTGGTTCTAGTGGACAGGTCTACCAAGAAGTTTGCAGGTGGGAGCAGGAGCTAAAGAATGCATTCTTTAACAAAGAAGTTGCTCATGGAGAACATGTGCTCAAAGGAGGACTTTGGTTTTTGTTTTTGAGGATGAGAGATGTGAACTTCTTGAATGCTGATAGAGAGAGGCCAGAAGAGAGTAGTTTAAAGGGTTTTAAAGCAAAAAGCTGAGAGAGGCTGTTGTGTGGAGCCATGCCCTATGTGCAGTTTGGGGGAGCATCCATCAGGGAGTAGAGAGGACTCCAGCCTGGTTCCTGGTTCAGAAGAGAGGGAGGTGAAAGAGTGGACTGGGTGTGCTGTGGGTTGCTGATGTCCTGAGCCAGGGAGGCAGGGCCTGGTCCCTTGGCTGTGGCTGTCTTGTTTGCTCAAAGTGGAGTAGTCATGTGTGAAGAACTATGGTCAGATGGAGGTTTTTAAGTTTGTTTGATTTCTACCTTCTGCCAATCTACTGTTTGGAATAATCATACTATTTATCATCTGCATATTCAGTGTTTAACTTGGTTTCTTTTGTCTCTGCTAGTCAAACACCCATATCTGAGGCTTACACTAGGCAAGCAGGAAAGCAAGAGGGCTTTTTAATTTCTTTTTAAAAAATGAATCTGTACCTGAATCAAGACTCAGGTAAAAGAGGGTAAATTTCTCTGAGGCTCCAGGCAGTTTTTTTTTTTCCAGCTGGGGTTCTCACTTGCTCGCCAGGGGCCAGAACAGGAGCTCTTGTTCTCTGGGGACTTGGTGATCACTTAGTTAATAGAACTGGAGGTGGGGACAGTCAGTCTAAGGAAGCATTAGTCCACACCTGTAGGG